ATAGTAATAGTAATAATAATAATAATAATAATAATAATAATAATAATAATAATAATAATAATAATAGCTAATAATAATAGCTAATAATAATAATAAATAATAATAATAAGAAAATAAAAAATATTAATATGGATAATAATATTAATAACTATAAATTAAAATAGCAATACGCGATTTAAATATTAGTGAACAGATATATTGTGATGCAGATCTTGATGGAATAAATTTTCTTCATTTTTCATAGGAAAAAGAAGTAATAATTTTACAATATTTAAGATTTGAAATTTTTTTTTCATATTGTATATTGAAAAAACGAAAACCAAAATGAAAAAATGTAATTATGAACTAAAGAACTGAATAAAAATAAAATTTCTATCATTTTTGAATATTATTTAGAGAATAATTTGCGAAAAATTTCTATGTATTTTAACCGGTTATTTCTTCCTTCAATTCACTTTACACTTTTTCAAATTTGATTTTAACTTTTGTTCTTATTTTTATTTAATTTATTACCGTTGTCTAAAAACTGGCTAGAATACTGCAAATATATTCGACTACAATTAATTTATCATGAAATTTCGATAATAAATCCAATACTTTCATTATTATTCATAACGTATAACAGTAAACTGACCAATATAATTGTTGATTCGCCTCATCTTCTTCCACCCATTGAAAACTTTGGAAAGCAAAGATGAATCAACCAGTTATATCGTTTCTATATCTCGTCGGATGAATAGGAGAGAAAATAAAATTGAAAAAGAATGCACGAATCAACGTCGGTTGCTAATTATCGAGTGAATCTGGCATTAAAAGATGTTAGAAATAACTTTAAGCAAGAACTCGAATCGAATTGACAGCGAGTGATATCGTGACGAATTATCAAGGATCTTCTATCATGAATTTCTTATCAATTTTCCTTCCTTTTCTCACTAATTTCTTTAATATGATTTCACTGTGGGAAAGTACGAGGATTTTAGAAATTAAAAATGTTCGTAACACAACCCTTTTTCACAGCACAAAATCTCATCAATAATTTGTTAATATTTATATGATTACGAATTAATCATGAGAATACATTTTTCATTACAAGAAAAAGTTATATTCTTAACGTCGAGCTATTTTTAAGAGGAATTAATTAATCGAACTTATTAAAAGATACGTATTCATATATTATCTAGTTATTTATTAACTAAGTACTATTTAACGATTTAAACTGACTTCATTTTTAGTCTAACTCGTTAAACGTTGATTTTTATTTCAATAATTATTATACCATTCGAAACTATTCGCGCAAATATCCCTAAACTTTATTTGAAAATTTGAATGATGTCGATATAGTTTTGCGATAAAAAAGTTCATATATAAAATAACAGAAAAATCAATCATCAGGTTAAAAAAAAACAGAAAAATAAAGAGGTCAAGAAATATAACAACATTCGCAAAGTGGAAAGACGACTATCTCAATTTCAACAAAGTTTCAATTTGATCGATGTCTCGAAAATTATGAACCGACTTTATGGCTTTCCATAACTTTCGAGTAATCTAAAAGGATTATTCGCACAAATAACTTTGGTCAAATAAAAAGAAAAAAAAAAGAAAATTATTTTATACCATTTTCGGAAGATCCTCAGTAATTCATGGTTTTGTACTTTACGAGGAACGCTAGCTAACCTCCCGTTACATATATAAATTAAACAATAAGATTCATTATTAAAGATATATTTTAAAAATTATAACGCTTTCACAGCTTCTGGCAATGAGGCATTTCAATAATGAATAGATAAAAATAAAAATAAGAAAATAATAATAATTAATAATTAATAATAATTAACAATTAATAATTAATAAAAATTAATAATTAATAATAATTAATGATTAATAAAAATTAATAATTAATAATTAATAATTTTTAATAATTAATAATAATAATAATAATGATGATGATGATGATGATGATGATGATGATGATGATGATGATGATGATGATGATGATGATGATGATGATGATGATGATAATGATGATAATGATGATGATAATGATAATAATAATAAGTAGTAGTAATAGTAGTAGTAATAGTAGTAGTACTAGTAGTAGTGTAGTAATAAGAACAACAACAACAACAACAATAACAATAACAATAACAATGATGATGATGATGATGATGATTATGATGATGATGATAATGATAATGATGATAATGATAATGATGATAATGATAATGATGATAATGATAATGATGATAATAATAAGAATAATGATAATAAGAATAAGAATAGTAATAATGATAATAATAATAATAATAATAATAATAATAATAATAATAATAATAATAATAATAATAATAATAATAATAAAAATATTTTGACATGCAAAAAATTGTGGTGAAGCCTAGACTGAACGTCCAAGACTCTTTTATCAACGATTCATCCAACAAAATATATTAATACTATTCGTTCAAATTCAAAAAGTTACTAGCGCAACATATTTACTGGTCATACTAAAGAATGGACTAACATTTCAAAATAGAAAAGTAATTGACAATAGTAGTAGTCACAATAGTGATAATGGTGATTCGTTTACGATCACGATGATGTTCGTATAGAATGCTTTCAAAATAATTTTTTTAGATAAAAATTAAAAGTAGAGAAGAAGAAAAATATCAACGAAAAGAATGCGAAAAAGAATAGGAAGAACCATTAAAGCAATTCGTTATATGATTTTACTATAATTCACTAACACTACTTGCTATAGTAACACTATGATTACAGATCAGATTAAAAAATCGAAATAAAATGTTCGACCGACTGAGAAACAAATTTTTTTTTGTAAGTTCCTTATCATTTTCGTTAGAATATTGAAGAAATATCGGATATTTGGATCGAGAATATTTATTAAATATGATTGATATGATATCGATCGAACATTCTTGCAAAGTTATCTCGAAGATCGGTCAAGGAAGATGAAAACATATTGCATGAATTTTACAATGTTTATCATTGCAATACAATTCTTAGCGATATACAATTTTCTTTTTTTCTTTTTTTTTTTTTTTTATTACGTAAAAGCTCGACTTGTGAACGAAAGAACGTTCTCAGTCTTTTCGAGCATATTTTCTGTAATCTCTCATCTTCCTTCACGGTAGACAAGTTTCGGATCAAGAAAATGAAAGATAAATCATACAAAAAGTAAAATATATAATTAACGCGGATTTTAGAATCACATTTGTTCAAAGAAAAAAAAAAGAAACTTAAACATATGTAAAAAAGAAAAGACGAAAAAAAATACATTAACAAAACAAAACAAAAAAAAAAATAAAGTGAAAGAAAAACAACTAAAGAATAAAGATGAAATGAATCGAAATAAATAAAATGGATTATCATTGTCATACTTAAAATCATAGGTTAAGACGAATCTTCGTTGATTTATATGAAAAAGAAAAATATACATATAAATATGTATAAAAAAGAACATCTACTTAATTATTTAAAAAAATAAGAAATAAATGACATATGAGGATAAAGAAGAATTCGGAAAAGATAAAAAAAAAAAGAGAAACATGAATACAGAGTTGTCCGTTGATGAAAATACTTTCAAAGATAAGTGAAAGCTTAACGAACGGACACACATTTGACAACGACGGTAATCGATATTGTCAATTATCATTCTTTGATTTATGTAATAATTCAAGGCAATGCAAACGTGTAGAATATCGATTGAATATTCTACGTTATTTTTCAATTACGTACGCACATGAGAGGAGAAGAGAGAATAACGAAACAAGCTCTCGCCATGTATCGATCTCTACGAATCGATGACGTCAGTAGCAAAATTATTTCGCTTTGGGTCATAGTAAAATGTATGATTGTTCAACGATAGCTGTTATTAAACGCGATTAAGACAAGTTTAAGTCCAAAATTAAACCCAAAGAGTCGATAGTTAAAATTATAATCGTGTCAAAACCGGACGGGTAGCACGTTCGTTTGCACGACCTAGAAAAAATACGTGCAGAAACGTGATATCTGAGATAATGAGAAATAAATGCTTCTCGTTTTTGATCGAGAAGGGAATGAAAAGGAAAACTAGAAGGGAGAGGATTTTGATTGGAAATCAATTTTCATGGAAAAAGAAGATATAACGTAGAGAGGATGAATATCGGTTGAAAGGGGAAAAAAATCTGGATGAGGAAGGTGAGAATGGAGTGACTAGCGGCGGCGAGCTCTACAACTAAACAACAACAACAGTATTTTCAGTTATAACAACATTAACAAGTAAATTCTTCACGTGTATGCGCTTACACGTTCCGTATGAATTTCCGTTTTTCACGCGTGCGCGTATACATAATGCACGCAAACAAAATGGACGTCCCGAATTCGCCTGCGTTTATCTTTTTCGTACGAACATTTCATACGTGCGCGTACACAGTTTGGAGAATGATTCGTATACGTGCATGTCGAGCATCGAATAGCTATTTTTCTTCGTTTCTTCTTCGTTTAATTTTCCTTCCATTTATTCTCTGTATCTTGTCTTTCTTTTAAACTTCGTTCATAATTTTCGGAAAGACGTGCTCAATGTTCATTCACACGAAAGTGAGAAATTCGCTTCCCATCGCGGCACGCATATATACGAAAGTATAACTTTCTGCGGAAACGAATTCTCGAACGATTGCGACAGGAGATTTCTACTGGCGGAAGGAATCCGTTCCGTTTAGTTGGTGTACGCGCACGTGTTCGTATAAATAAGGCTTGTCATCTTGAATTTCGACAGCTGTCGAATCAACGCAATTTCGCTCGCATACGTGCTGCATTTTGTTTCGTTTCGTAAAACGGAAGTAAAGTGGCTCGAGCGGGCGAAGATGGATAGGTAAAGTGAGTACGAACGGTGATGGTAAGTGGGTGAAGAAGATAGGCAAGTATAAGTAAAAAAAAGATCGATGAGATCTTGGTTTCATGGCCGTCGAAACAATGCCGACAAAGATGACGACGACAACGACGAAAATAACGTTAGATCGTTGTTGGCGTCGTGATTTTTCGATGCTCTACATGCCGATTGGCGGTACTTGTACATAACGATATATGTAGAGTCGATAATCCTTGCTGGCCAGTACGACCGATCCATCGTCCATTAATGCGACATCGAAACATTGGGCATGCTTGACCTTGCTTTCGAGGGCTGAAACCAGTTGACCATCTTGCGTGAAGATCGTCAGATTGAAATTATTATGATTGTCTGCTATTAGTATTTCGCCTACGGCGTTGATCCCTACCCCGATAGGGTAATTGGTGATCCCTTCTCCACCGATTTGTCGAAGATAGGCGCCCTCGTAATTGAACACTTTCACACAATGGGCGCGATTGTCGCTAATGAAGATCTCTTGTTTGTCGTTCACGACTACTCCGTTCGGAAATTCTAAGTGTTTTGAGCATCCAAATTTCTGAAGAACGATGCCGGCCTGGTCGAAAATAATCACGCGCATCACTTTGCATTCGACGACGACTATGCGCCCTTTTGAATCGACCGTAACACCACGCGGATGTTGCAATATATTTGCCCCAAATTTACGCACGAATTGACCATACTGGTTATATATTTGTATCTGATGAGTCGGTGAACGTTCGGTAACGATTATATCGCCCGATGTTTTCACTACTGCCACCCGATTCGGATAAAGCAATTGACCGTCTCGTTTACCACACTCCCCAAATTGAAATTTGAATCTACCTTCTTTATCGAATATTTGAATCCGATGATTGTTCGTGTCGGCTACGATAATGTCATTTTGCGCGTTCACTGCCACCCCTGAAGGTTCGGTAAACTGACCTTCCATAACACCGAACTCGCCAAATTTGCAGTGATAAATCATTTTCTGTCGTTTAATCTGTGACTTTGGCGGAAATATCACCGTAGCGGACATCAGTTTCGAAGTAAGGTCAAGAACAGAGTCACTGGACGCGGCATTTGCCGCAACGGCAACGGATGTTGGCATTGGAAAATGATCGTTCGTAGTGACAACTGGATAAACATCGCTACCTCCGTTACTCCATTTTTCATAAGGATTCGCGTTTATACCGTTTAAATTAAGATCGCTGATCGTGGTTGAGAATGGGCCTAGGCTATTAGCCGAACTGAAACGCTTAGTGATGACAGTGTTGTTAGTATCGAAGGATGATGGCGATGTGGACGAGGCGCAAGTAGAAGTAGAGGATATTAGACCGTTGCTGTAAGGGCGATCTAATAGAAGACCTCCCAAAGATCCAGCGCTACTGGGTCCATTATTGGCATTACTTCCACCGTTACTATTATTCGAGAGTGCCGTTGGTCGAGCGATAGGCGGTTGTTTCCCAATCGGGCCGGCGTTACTCTCATTATTGCTTCGAACGTAACCGAATGTGTTTCGTACGCCTACTTGAATGGCCTGGTAATTACTGACAAATTCGAGATCGGCGGTTTGACTGGCAATGTCCGGCGTATAATTCAATAATAATTGAAGTTTCGAGTCGAGAAGTTTTTTTACCATCAGTACCTCGGTAACAGTAGTATATTTAGTTAATCGTTCGACAAATTCGCAAGTTTGAAGCATTTTATCAGCCATGTCGTTGGCCTTTTGCGTTAGAACACCAAGAGACATTTGTTTCGTGGAAAATACCGATTCGAGCTCTTTCAACAATTCTTGCTTACGTTCTTCGAGCATCGATCGATAGAATTGAAAAGTGTCGTTGATTTCATTTTGAGCTTTGTGATACTGCACTTGTAGCCGTGCCGCTCCGTGATCGGCTGCTTTCACAGCGGCTCTTACATCCGCGGCTTTTGCTCTACATTCTTGAACTACTCTTGCCATTGCTTCGAGTTGTTGCGTCCCTACCTCAGATATGTGCGCGCAATCGTGTAATGGGCCAGGATGATCGGTAATAGCGCACTCTTTACAAACTAACGCTGTACAAGTGCGACAAAAATATTTTAGCAATTCCTGTTTATGCCGAGGACAATAAGGTACTTTCTCGCCGTTGCTGCTACCGCTGTTGATCACCAAATTGTTTTTTGGGATTTCGTTATTCGCGGTGCTGGTGGTAACCGTCTCGAGTTTCGAATCGCCTAAGTTGAGGACACGATGGCCTTCGAAGCAGTGCATGAACTGATGCGCCATCACGCAATTAGGACAAAGGAAATTCGCACAGTCGAAGCAACGAGCTACAGCGTCGGATTCAGTGGATTTGCACCCGGTACAACGAACTCCACCGGCGCCTCCTAATCGGCACCGCGGACAGGGTGCCTCTCCAGGTTTTTGCGAATCGAGGCAAAGGTCGCAGCTGTCGACGTCACAAATCGCCGAGTCGCTCGCAGGCGGAGAACTGCCGCTCACTGTAAGTGGGGACAGCGAGGCCAGGGATCCGATGGAATTCGCGCGCGATTCCAGCGAAAGTGTCGGCGAGGCCATTTTCAATCAACCGGCATCCCTGTTAACAAAAATAAATACTTTTCTTTAACAATTGTTTTTTATTATATTTTTTTAATTATATCTAATTATATCTTCATTATCAATTTTGAAACATTAATAAATACAAAATATGATTTCCATTTTTCTCTCAATTTTATATAAATTTTTTTCTCTCTTTTATTAATTTTTAACTTAATTATTGCTGAACGTTCAGTATATTGAATTATAATTTTATTTCATATTTTATTCTACACATTGTATTATATTTGTAAAAAAATGTTTCGGATAATGAATATAGATAAAAAATGATTTAAATATATAAGATATATATAAAATAAGATATAAAAATAAATGTAAAATATAAAATAATATAAAATATTTTTCATTTTCGAAAAAAATCAGTTAAAATTTAGTTTAGTTAAAAATTAAATACATATGAATTTAATTAATAACTGACTGTATAGTAAATAAACAGTTTATAGAATTAATATATATATAATATAATAACTATAATATAATATAATATAATATAATATAATATAATATAATATAATATAATATAATATAATATAATATAATATAATATAATAATGTAATATAAAAACAATATACTATTTTTTTCTGAAAAATAATTTTAGAGAGAATTGAATTCCAAAATTTATCGAATGCATAATACGAAATTAGGTTAGGGTAGGGTAGATTAGCCAGAAAGTCGGAATTTTGTCTTATTATTAGTTCCTCGCTGCTATTTCCTATCTTATTATGTTTCTACATATTTAAATGGACATGATAATTCTGATTTTATATGACATAACAAGAACCGAAATGATTAAAATATTAATTATCAAAAATTGAATTATTATATTTGAATATAGATATATGAATTATAAAAATAGAGATAAAAGAGATGTTATAAATTCGAAATAATAATTTTTAACTTAATTTTATTACTTGTATCGTTCTTTTCTTTAAATTTAAATTGATATCTATATATATCAATCTCAATTTTTGTAATTATCATTATGTTCATAATTCTTAATAATCTCTTTAAAAAAGTATAATATTATTGATGATTACTAAAAAAAATTGCACAAAGAAATATGATTTCGTACTGCATTTTCTATGAATATAAAGTTTCTTTTAATTTGTTTTCTCTTAAACATATGAAAATAAGTAAAAGCAAATTAATCGTTTATAATGAAATTTATTATATGAAAGACAAGAAAAACATAAGCAAAAAAATATTATTTAATATTCTTTATTTTTCATAAAATAAGTTTTATAAATTTTAAATTATAATATTATTTAAACTAATGATTTTTTGATATAAATAACTTTGAAACTTTTGTACAAAAATTATGAGCTATATTGATTAGAACAATAAAAATTATATAATTTTTTTTAAAAAATTAAAGTTGACTATTATCTCTAAAATCTATAGAAAATCTATTGATATTGTACAATGTATCTTTTTATATCGAACAATTTTTATTTGATATATTCTTTCCTATCATTTATATTTTTCAAAATATTTGAGTAATTTGAAATAAACCGTTATATATAATCAAATACGTTATACATAAAAAATTTGATTTATAAAGAAAAGAATTTGCTAGAAATATAATGAAATCATCTATGTTCATTCTCAAAAATTAATCTATAAAAATTTAGACTGTATGAAAAAGTAACTACTTTTAAAATTACTAAAAAATTTTGAATAAAATTACTTTAAGTAATTATTTATTGAAATGCTTAAATAACATTTATTCGTAGCTAATTAATCCGTTTTTCATACAGTTTCGACTGTTTGGCATTACAATTATTTGCGATTATTATTATATTTTGAATAATAAAACTTATTGAACTTATCGAAGTAACTTTATTCATAATTATTCAATTATTAAATTTTGCTCATCACTGGATTAAAAGTGTATCGATCATTGGATGTGATTGTTTGTGATTTATTGACATTTATCATGATAGTGACCGGAAACTGTTTCTTGTCGTTGCATATTTATTGCGAGTCGAATTTAAATTTATCTTTTCTCTATTTTTCATTTGTTTTCTTTTCTTTTCTTTAAATTTTTCTCTTTTCTCTAAATGACTTGTAAACAATTCACAAGGGAAAAAATATCATCCTTTTAATTAAATCACTCCACTGGACGGTTGTTTTATCTGAACTTTCTGTAGATAGATGAACGGGTAAAGAAAAAAGAGCAAAAGGGAAAGGCAGAGAACAAAAAGAAAAGAGATCGGTACCCTGCGAGTCCAAGGTCATGAATGAGAAGGTTATTTTCTAGTTAGCTTGTGAACTTATGATGTTCCACGTAACAACGTATTCGCATTTTCACGACGGAACGTAGAAACACAGAAGAAAGATAGAACAAAGATAGACGGATAAAAGATAAAAGAAACGGGAGAGTAAAAGAAGGAAAAGTGCGTAGAAGAGCAAAATCAGAAGGAAGGAAGAAGGTAAAATGCGCGAATAACCGAATGGATGGAAACAAAGAACGTTTCACCGCTCCAGGAAACGCTTCTAAAGTCGGGTTCTTTTCTCTGGTACGCGGCGGTACCTTCGTGCAGGAATTTCGATCGAGTCCCAAGATAAAAGGTGAATGCTCTTAAGGGAAGCACTTGGACTCGAGATCGCTGGAAAACTATATTTAACGTAGCGAATATCAAAAGAAATGTATTTCGAGAACAATGAAATATACAACAACATTATTATCGAAATATATATATAAATATCGAAATTTATTTCAATTATGTCATGATAAAATGAACAGGAATTTAAAGAAGAAACTTTATACTATATACTATATACTGTACTTTATATACTATATACTATATATTATAATATTATTAACATTAAATTTATATAAATTATTTTCCATTAATTCCAATTTGTTTTTAGCAAATTTATCTAAAACGTAATTTAGAACGGAAAAAACAGAATTTTAGAACGATTGTTTTCATTTTTTTGAGCGAAGTTAATACTACATTCATTAATTCACTATTATATCGCTACTTTATATCCACTTATTATATTAAATTAAATTTTTTTTCACGTTAATATCACTTTTGGTGAACATGGTAAAAACATAAAAATAATCCATTAATTTTGATTTTCGTTATTAATATAATTATACTATTATATTATAATTAATAAAATTATATTATTCGTTTATTTATTTATTATTATGTATCTATTATTACTATGTATTATTATATATCTCTTATATATTGAAAACAAATATAATAAAATAGTACATAAACAAATTTCTATTGCATTATTATAATATAAGTAATGTAATTTTATAATTTCATAATCTCTTAATATTATATAAAATATTTTAATCATGTAATTTAATATAATCATATAACATACCAATATCAATGTTAGATTATCTATATATATATTATATATAATCTATGTAATATATAATTATAAAATATGTGTAATATGTAATATATACATAATAATCTATAATATATAATTTCTATATAATATAATTTCTTATTTTTGATTATAAGAAAAATATATAAGGAAAAATATAATTTGAATTTGCAAAACTATTTGGACATCTTATATATATCTTATATATATATATCTTATATATATCATCTATATATATATCTTATATATGTTATATACATATATATATATACATAAGATATATATAATAAGAGAGATATATATATATACACATAAGATATATATATATATATATATATATATATATATAAGATGTCCAAATAGTTTTGCAAATTCAAATTATATATATATAAAGACATATATGATTTTATATACTAAAATAAATCATAAAATTTTCAATGTGTCCAAAATGTGCTAAAAATACATTAAAAAGAATATCGAAACTTTTTAAATATCCTTCTCAAATATTTAAAAGACAATTTATTTTAAGTAAAAAAATTATTTATTTCATGAGATTTATATCATATTTTAATATATTTTAAAATATTTTTGTTACTTACGTATTTTAAATATGTATTTATTTATGTTTTATATTTTAAATATAAAATATAAAAATCAAAATTATATCAATATTAGAATATACCAAATATATCAAATATACTTCTGGAAATAATTTAAGTAAATTTAGGAAAATAATAAATTTATTTGAATATCCTTTGAAATATCTATTTATAGAATACCAACAATACGCTTAATTTCTTTGACAGGTACAAGAGAGAATTAAGAAAGGAAAAGAAATGTTTGAACATGAAAGATTCTGAGGAGGCATAACAATAGAAAATTGTGAATCGGAAATGGAGAAGGGGAGAAAGAAAAAGGGGAAGAGTAAGATGGAAGCGAGAGAAGGGGAAGTGGTAAAATAGAAGAGCGCAGTGCCGCCGGAGGTAGAGTGCGTGCACCCCGATCGATGAACGTCGTTCAGGGGTCATGGCGCGCCGCACTATGCCGCACCGCACCCCTCTGAGCCACGACGCGTTCTCCCTCCCGATCCTTGCCTACTCATAGACCCCACAAGTGTATTGACTTCCTATCCCCCACTATCATACTCCAGCGGCTGCCAACTCGAAAAGGAGAGAAGGAGAAGAGACGAAAAGAATACCTATAGCAGTGACCGCTACGATCTACGACCTTGGGCGAGAAAAGTCTCGAATCAGCCTTGCGAGTCATCGGGAAAATCCCTTACTAGTCAACAATCGTACTCTTTTTTAAATTCATTTAATCATCATTTCTTTGTGATTTTATTTTGTTTTTATCATGATTGTATTTAATGATTTTTAGTATATGTAATAATAATTTTGTATATATGCTGTATTTAATATGATATAGTATTCGAATTTATTAACGAATTAAACTTCGATATAAATGAAAGTTTATAAAATATCGAATTGCAGAATAGTAGTTTGATTTTATTAAAGAATAATTAATTTACATTCCCTAATTTTTATTGTTTGATAGAGGAATACATTTTGTCTTCAAAAAATAAAAAGTTTTGAAAAGGAAAAAAAAGAACAAATTAATTATTT